AAAGATACACAAAATATATTTCAAAAATTTAAAATATTTTTTAGTAGAACTATATTTTATATAAAAAAATTTAATAATAGTTGTTTATCAAATTCTTGTGTGGTTTCTATGTATATTTTAATAAATGTATTTAATTCTCATTTCTTGTTATTTATTTCTAATTTAATGTAATAAAAATAATTAAATAAATTTGCATAATGATGTGTAAATTAGTTCTATATTATTTTTAAATGTTTTGATGAAAGTATAAAGTATACAATTGTTCTATTGTCAACAGGAAAACAGGATCCATATCTTACAGAAGCAAAACTATTGGATATAATAGAAAGATGTAAATCAGAGGGATCTTATTCGCTATTAATTCGTACATTGGGAGAGGTATTTTCATGTGCAAAGGCTTTGAGTCTTAGTTTCCAAAAAACAGTAAAAAATGACTCTCCCTTGGCTGCACTTCTTGATAGAGCTTCAGATAGTTTATTAAGGCCACCTGGTGACATGGATAAAGAAGCAATCCGATCTATACAAGGAGAAGACAAAGAAGAAGACAGCAGTGAACCATCACCTACAGTTCCTAACAATGATGATACTAGTATTGATTTACCAGCTGTACGAAGAGCTTTTGCTGCTCTTTGGGCCTTACCAGGTAAAAAAATATCTTATTATAATAAAAATATTAAATACTTATGAATATACGTAATTTCTTCTTTTTATATTTAGGAGAAGTATTTAAGTCTGCTTTGGTTAATGCACTAGTCACTTTGGCAGACAATATTGAATTAGATTTGAGAGTATTTCGTATTATGCCAGGAGATAATATGGATAGTTTATTAAATGTATTTTTAATTGTATTTGAAATTCCTATGCTTGGAAACAGCGAATATTTAGAACTTGCTCTTCATATGCTTTGTAAAGCACTGAGCTGTTTTCCTATTGTGGCACAAGCTAAATTAGCACGTGTATGGGCTAAACATTGTAAATCTCGACTTCCAAGTATTTTACAAGCTCTACAGGAATTAATAACTGTTAAGGTATTTTAATTGTTATTTAATACAATTGAAAAGTTTTATACTAAATTATTATTTTTCGAATTATTGAAAAGTTCTACTGTAAAATAAACAAATATTGTTATTTATTCAGGTAATAGGAGGTTCTTTTACACGAGATTACTGTGTTCAAGATGCAGACACTATTACAGCACCCACAAAAGTTATGAAAATTTTATATTATGCAAGTATGTTAGCTGGTGAGCTAGATGAACCTGATTTAAACATAGATGATGATGGTGAATCTACAAGTAATGACAAATCTGGAAGATCTTTATCACAAATTCCTCAGGTGAAATTATAAGGATTATTACAAATTATTAATTAAGTATTATTAAAATTAATTATATATATTTAACAATAATAATATATGTTTTATATTTATATTTTATATATAGGATCCATTAGCTAAAAAATTAGGAATTACTGCACTAGATGCACGAAAACCATTCATACCTTTCACTGATTTTTATAATGAACCACTTAGTGATGCAATAGAAATGGACAAGGACTTTGCATACTATAAAAGTGAAGAGCCTATGAAATTTAGTTTTATGAATTATGCTTTTATCCTCACTCCTGCTACAAAAACACTTGGTTTATATTATGATAATCGCATTAGAATGTATAGTGAACGTCGAATGAGTTTTCTACAGACAGTCGTTGGACAGCCGACTAACCCTTATTTAAGATTAAAGGTTTGTACATCTTTTTATTTTTATTATAACTTGTATTAATAATTGTCTAAAATAGGTGAGAAGGGATCGTTTAATAGATGATGCGTTAGTCGAATTGGAAATGATTGCTGTAGAAAATCCATCTGATCTTAAGAAGCAATTAGTTGTTGAATTTGAAGGTGAACAAGGAGTCGATGAAGGCGGAGTTTCGAAAGAATTCTTTCAATTGATTGTAGAGGAGATATTCAATCCTGACTATGGCATGTTCACAACTCAGGTAGTTTTTTAACTTTTATTGATTAAAAACTAAAAAGAAAAAATAACTTAAAAAAAAAATTATTTTATATAAAATATTGTAAATATTTATAGGAAGATACACAAATGACATGGTTTAATCCAACATCTTTTGAAAGTGATGCACATTTTACATTAATAGGCGTTGTTCTTGGTCTTGCAATATATAATAATGTAATATTAGATGTACGTTTCTCTATGGTCGTTTATCGAAAATTGCTTGGTAGAAAAGGATGTTTTGCTGATTTAGAAGATTGGAGTCCCACGTTGTATCGAACATTAAAGGAATTGATGGATTATACCGGAGATGATATGCCGGACACATTTATGCAAACTTTCAGAGTAGCTTACAAGTAACTTATTAACTAGATCAATAATTATTCAATAAACTCTATTTAATTAATATTAATGTATAATATTCTCTTTTATAGAGATGTTTTTGGTTCGATATCTTTCCATGATCTAAAACAAAATGGTGATGAACTATTTGTGACACAAGAAAACAAAAAAGAATTCGTAGATCTCTATGCGGATTTTTTACTTAATAAATCAGTAGAAAGACAATTTAAAGCATTCAGACGTGGATTTCAAATGGTTACAGATGAAAGCCCGCTTGCACTACTTTTCAGACCCGAAGAAATCGAACAAGTATGTTTATATTATTTATAATTTGTGTAATTGCATTTTATTAACAATTATTTTTAATTAATATTCCATTTACAGCTTGTTTGTGGTAGCAAAGTTTTCGATTTCGCGGAATTAGAAGCCGCTACAGAATATGAAGGTGGTTATACCGTTGATAGTAAAGCAGTACGTAATTTCTGGCGCGTAGCACATTCACTACCACCAGAAAGTCAACGAAGACTTCTTCAATTTACTACTGGAAGCGATAGAGTGCCAGTTGGTGGTTTATCAAGGTTAAAGATGGTTATTGCTAGACATGGTCCAGATTCTGACAGGTAAATTTTTTTAATTTTAATTCATATTTTATATTTTTTAATATTATATAATAGCTAAAATTTATAATTATTTTAATTGAATTATATAACAAATGTCACATATTATATTTTAGATTACCAATAGCCCATACATGCTACAATGTATTATTGTTACCAGATTATAGTACCATAGAGAAATTACAAGATCGTCTATTAAAAGCAATCAATTATTCGAAAGGTTTTGGCATGTTATAAGTGTGTATAAAAGCTTTGATATCTTTCCCCAGTCTTTCAGAGTATGAATTCTAATTAAGAGTTCGAAATTCTATCCTTTTGCCTTGCTATAAAGATGTATTTATTCGAAATTTATGCAAATCGCGTGGAAATGCTCTGCTTTCGTAAAATAATTTGAAAAAAAAATGAAAAAAATTATCCTCTAATAATACCTCGCAATCGTTGTCCTCCAATGTTTATTTTGCAAGTTCAGAAACTAGAATTGTTCTACAAAAAATAATACAAAATTTTTGCGATAATATGCTTTGAAATTTTCTTGCACCTCCGTGTTTAGGCGCCAAAGCAAATTAACGCATTTCAAACAAAGTCTTGCCAAGTTGTTTGATAACTTGCACTTTTTCTGCACTTTATTATAAATATGAGAAAAGAATATTTCATTTCAAATCAGCTTTTTTACAAATTGGATGCTACAATTTATCTCATTAATTTTAATCGTAAAAACAGAAAGAGATGCAGCATAATGAAATGTATACAGCTTAAAAATAATAGTGAGATGCGCGACTGTGATGAGTGTGAAAATGGATCGAGAATAATCGGTCAGAATTTGTAGAGATATACGTATCATAGATTTAGTGAATCCTATAGTTGATACTCGATGCTGCAAGGAAAAGCCGAGAAACACCCCTTTTGACGTTTGTCGTCACGTTGTACACAAGACATTTTATATATTGCAAAAAAAAAAAAAAAAAAGCAGAATCAGGATTGCTAAATCTTTTTTCTTTCATGTTTGTACGTAACTCTTTGTTTTTACATCACGTTTTATCTTGATACATAAGTATCAACTATATATGTGTAGTGTATTGAAAGTCGTGATACAAGTCATAATGAGGCTGTTTATTGTATAAAAGTATTTCCAAAATGTATGTAGAATAACAATTTCTTATACAACTAAGTTTTCGAAAAAATCAAGTTTATTTGACAAAAGTACTTGACAAGATATTCCAAACTTGATTTTCTCAAAAACGAAGTCTTTAAAAATTTTTTCACATAAAATCATCCTTTTTTGACTTTTATCATGATTTTCGATATACCTTATATATATATATATATATGAATATATATAGATACGTATACATATAACACTTGGGAATGAATTTGTATAAACGTTTGTAATCAGCGGCTTTCTTAAAAAACTACTCTATGTTGTCGGTTGTCTTATTGTTAGTCACATGACAATATATAAAATAAAGTTCTAACGAGTATGTAAATTTGTGCGCCATTTATTTTAGCAACGTGTAGGAACATAAGAAATCTGTATGTATGAAACCAAAAATAATCGAATTTAAATGAATCTCGTATATATACTATGTTGTCAAGTGATATTAGGTGCGATTGATAATTTCATCGTTTTCATTTTGAAAGCAAACATTTCCTCTCAGGATGAATAGAAATGAAAATTAATTAATATTTACGCCGCTATTACGATCAAGAAGAACAAATTATAACTGGTGTTACATTGTACATGTATTGTGCCGTATTAAAAGAAAAATCAGGATTATGTGTAGTGAAAGTGATCAATCTATGATCGATCGTGTATCCTGCTTCTTGAATATGAACGATTCACAGAACCAGAACAATTTCGATTTTATACCAAAGTCTGATTATAATGAGAAATTGCATCTGGAAAATAAATGTCTTTTTCATAATCAACAAGTAAATGAAAAATAATATAGTTCAAATAGATATCCTTTTATTTATATACGTATTCTTTTTCTATCTTTTCTATCTTTTTTTCAATTGTATTTCTCATTTATCTTAATTATTTAAAAATAAAAATAGCTATAAATTATACATATATTAGTACATGTTGTACGTTTAAATAGTTCCTTGAAGGAGAAAAATGTGGAGTAAAAAAACGATGTACGATAAATTCGTTAACGTGTGATCATTGTTCATCTTTTGGGGAAAAATTAAAGTCAAAAACAGATGGAAATTTAGATGAAAAATCAGGCGATTGGAAATATGATGAAAAATTTCTAAAAGATTCTATAGAAAATATGCAAGAACCTACTGAATGGAAATGGAAAAATCCTTATAGTATTTCCGATTTTGATAGATCGAAGTATTATCGACACAACTTTACAGGTAAATGTTACAAAATTTAATCACAACTTTTATCAAAGAAACAAATATATGTCAATATATTAAATATTAAATTTTTTTTTTTTTAAGAAAATGATTTTACTACGAATTTATTACGTGATTTGTGTGACAAAGATAGTCGTTTCAAAATTTCTTCAAAAAATAACAACAAAAATATTTTGTACAATTTCCGTGAATATTTGGTTAATTATCAAGCATCTTGTGGTATTCCACGAACAGAATATTCTTTTCTGGCTCTTATTAATATGATGGGTCAAGCAACAGGTCGATCTCTTCTTGCATTATTATACGTCATGTTGAACATTATACCTGTTATGGAGGTATTATCTAATAATTGAATTATTATAATTTTTTTTTTATTGAGTTTGATTGCACCGCTCAAAATAATTAAAAGTATATCTTCATAAACTATTTTATACTTTTATTTTACTTTATCTTAATTATTTTGAGTGGTATATAATAAGTTTTAATTCAAAATAGTTTTTCATGAATTTTTCATTTCAATAAATAGTTATATCATAACTAACGAGTTATGTACATATGTATATTCTAAATTATAAAATTAAATATTTTTTAATTCAAAAATAATAAAAAAAAGTTCAAAAATTTGTAATGCTTTTTTACAATTATTTGTAAATTTTTAATATATATTTAAATACTTAAACTTAATATATGTATAAATGATAAAAACGATAAAATCGCATTTTTTAGGTATTCCTATATTTATTGCGATTTGTTCTGGACAAAGTTATTAGCATAAACAATTGTAAGGATTTTCGGCAAATGATGACTCAATGTGCAATATTTATAACAGAATTATTCAGTGTTTACATATGTCTATTATTTATATTCGGTTTTATTATCTTACCGATTGTACACATAGTATTTGATATAGTAGCAAAGATTATGTTTTATTATTAATAATATTTACGTATAATTGAATGATACTAAAAACTATAATTATTGAGAATTGTTTATACATGTATAATTAAAAAATTTTCATTATATTATCTTTAGATCAATTTTAGTTTCATTTTCTAACTTATTGTTACCAAAATCTTGTAAAGAACATCATATATATGTATCCTTTGAAATTTTTATATTCATATATAATTTTCTTTTAGTTAAATCATGTTATTATAATATTTTTGAGGATAGAATATATTATAATTATAAATAATAAAAGCATATATCATAATATTCAGTGTAATTTTATTAAAAAAAATTTCTGCTATCGAATTAATTTTAAATTAGTAATATTATTTTTTGAAATCTCAATAATCATGCATTAGATATTCAATCAATTTTTTAAACATTCGATATTTTTTGTTTTCAATTACTTATGAAAAATATTAAATGTTTTTATTGTCAAGCTAAGATTTTTTGAAAAATCATAAAATATAATTAGATATAAATAGATATGTTTAAAATTTCGGAAATGTTTTTTATTAATCATCACTTTTTTAAAGATTCTATCTATATAGTTTTTTTTTATTTTTTATTTTTTTTTATAAGTTCTTAGTTTGACAATGATATAAAATATGAAAAAAAGATCCTGTTACTATATGACATTTATATATTGTATATAACAATCGCAACAAGTGCGCTAATAATTATAAACAAAGAATAAAACTTCAATTCCTATCAATGTAACGGATTCGTGTATATCGAAAGAAAAAACATATCAAATGTTTTTCTAGTACGATCGATCCATAATCAGTCACTTTGTACGAATATCTGAACAATTGATCCAACAGTCTCATTGATTCGAAGCGTGCTGCTTTAAACGAAAGAATGTGCAAAAATTTGTATTTCCTCTGATATATTCAATTAAAGTGCAAATTCAATTTAAAACTATTTCATTATATTCAAAAAATATTTATATAATAAATGTTTGATGTTGTTCAATATAAAACAATTCTATTGAAAGAGAGTATATTAAATATAAACAATCGTGAATATAATCATATTCATATTAATCACTAGATCATATACATATTCATATTGAATAAATAATTGTTATTAATGGTGATAAATAAATAAGGAATTAAAACGATATACTTAACCTATTATAGCTACTTAATTAAATATGTCATAAATACTGATATTTACCAATAATATTTCAATAACACTTTAATATATGTAATAATATAACTTCATAATCATTTACATTCACAAAACATAACTACAATTAATACCTATTGACAAATAAATGTGATCATATTCACGATTATTTGGAATAAAATAGAATAGAGGTTAACTTTACTTTGATAAATGATAAATCACACGTTTGCACTTCAAATTATCATGCATTTCGAGGAAAGGAATGTTGAATGATCGTAATCACATAAAATGCAAGTACACAAAAAGTAAGATCTAATAAATAATCATTGCAAAAATAACAAAAAAGAAGATAACGAGATAATGAGGTGTATGAATATAAGTCGCAGTTCCCCATCCACATTCAAGCTCTGTTTTCAATGCTTCTAATACCGACATATTATTCTTATTTAAGCAAAATGATTCGCGTAAATCGTCATCCCAACCATTGTCCCAGCAATCGAATTCATCATCTTCTTCATCTCGTTCGATATTTTTAAATTCACTATAAGTAGTACAACGATCCTCTTGATATTGTCTATGTTTTCTTTGCCAGGTTTCCATCCATCTATAAAAAACATTTTTTCTCGAAGACTTAAAAATAAGTATTACTAGAAATATTAAAAGTAATTAGAATGAAGAAAAGTTTATTTTATTAATTATTGATGTTATAATATTGATTTATAACATAATTACGGTATATATATATATATATATATATATATATATATATATATATAA